TACAACTTCATCAAGTGGGTTACTATTAATAATAATGTTACTATTAATAGATATTGTATTGGTGTTATTTACATCATGTAATATGTTACTATTATTAGATTGTGGCATTCTCATCTTACTATTAATAGATTATGTCACTTTTAATAGATTATGTTACTATCAATAGATTGTGAATTAATTGTTACTATTAATAGGTACAGGTGCTCATAATGTAGTACAGAATACTGCTCCTCCTCTGCAATCATCAACTCCTAAACCACTAGCAAGTACTGCATTATTTAATAGAAAATGATTTATAAATAATGTGAATTTTAGGATCGTTTTCATATTTATCACCAGCACCACCACAGTCTCCCCCTCCTTCTCCATCATTCCATCAGACCACACCTCCTTCACCACACCCACCTTTACAGGTAAATAACTGGTCGTTAGTGGCAATGCTTTAATGTCAATTTTGCTTCATTTTGTATGCATGTGTGTGTGTGTGTGTGTGTGTGTATGTGTGTGTGTATGTGTGTGTGTGTGTGTGTGTGTGTGTGTGTGTGGCTACAAAATTGATATTTAAAAGCAGCTGCTTTAGCTGATATTAATTCCTCTCTATTATAGTTTATAGGTTTAATTATTATTAAACGTCATAATTCATAATAATTTAATATTTATTATAATATCAGGTATCCTCATCTCTGAGTGAATTACAGTTGAAGAGGCTGAAGGTGATGGATGAGATCTGTGATATATTGAGTGACATACCATCAACTAGAATGACAGAACTGTTTGGACTCTCAGCCTGTTACCTCAAGAAGAAACTGGCAATGAGGTACATGTAACTGTAACTACATGTACATGTACATGTATGTCCACTGTAACTGATTAGCATACATACATGTACATGTACATGTGTACATGTACTGTAGTCAGTGAAGCCTCTACCTGTATATGAAAGACATTGTAGGACAAGAAAAGGTGTCCTTTATGTGGAGGTAGTAATTGGTACACTAGGTGCCGTCCGTTAAATGGAGGTGTACCCTATAGAGAGTGTCCATTAAGAGAGACTATACTACATGTAGTCATGTATACATGTACATGTATTGTTGTTATTTTTGTTTTCTTAGGAAGAAACTATTAGCTCAAGAAAAGGAATTAAACCGAAAGATATCATCATCATCTTATCTTAATGTTACTACACCACAATCAGCTGATTCAGCTCCACCCACCAATCAATCACTAGCCCCGCCCGTTACTAACACCTCATGGTCTATAGCCACACCCACTTATCACACATCAGGGGCGGAGTCACTCGTTCCCCCACCCACTCATCAAGAGGTGGATCCAGTGGGTGATTGGGAGGAGTTTGATGATATTCCAATGGACATGATACCAGAAGTGGATCCTGTTGAGATGATACAAGAGGAGGAGGAGGAGGAGGAGGAGGAGGTTTGTATTGATTTAACTGATTCACCATATCCTGACCCACCCACTTCAATTACTCCATCAGTTACTCCTTCATCTTATAATCGTCATCTCAACTTTGAATCACCGAGTACCTCCACTTCATTTAAACCTCCATTTAATGTCCAGTCTACTCCATTTAATGCCCACTCTACATTTTCAATTAATGCCCCATCAACATCTACATTTAATGTACCACCTCCTACTCCATTTAATGCCCAACATCAACCTACAGTGAGTTCTAGTCTCATAAAACCCTCTAAAGGTTCTGAGACAGTTCCAGACAATTCCGCCGAGTTTCGTGGCTCTTATGATCACGCTCCCCTCCTAAGGAAGGTATTTCGGGAGAAGTTTGGTCTCCAGGAGTTTCGTCCGAATCAACTTGAGGCGATCAATGCAGCTGTACTTGGTAAGAACTGCTTCATATTGATGCCTACTGGAGGGGGTAAGAGCCTCTGCTATCAGCTACCAGCACTGCTACTGGATGGAGTCACTATTGTAGTCTCACCACTGAGGTCACTGATACAGGATCAAGTACAGAAACTGAACAGCTTAGAAGTAAAGGGAGAGAAGGAATTAGTTTAACTTTATTTTGATGTTTTATACATGGACATGTAGAAATACAATATGCATAGATATTAGTACATTTAGTA